TTTGCATGGCTGGAGTGTTGTGGGGATCGAACTACAGCAAACTGAGGCTGCCAGCATTGTGGAAGCAGCCACTTAAAGAACTGAGCTAGGGCTGGACCCTCTCCCCACATATTTTAAAACAGGTTCTGTCTGTCCATGCTGACTGAGCTGTTTGACATTATCTGTTGAGAACACTGTTTCATGTCCTATTGTTGTCAAAAGCCAATAAATGCTTGTAAGAAGTCACAGAATTTTCTGTGGCGGGGCTGGGAAGTATATGGGGTCACAGTATGGGGATGAAGTTGTTCTCCCTTAGGAATGGCTCTGTAGCTTGAGAGTCTGAACATACTGTTGCAGTGCAGTAGATGTTTTTACCTCAGAAGCCTTTCTGCTGTCATTAGGACTGGTCATTGGACCCATTTTATCCAGGGATGGGGCACTAGGCCCCTTTGGGATGGTCTTCTCTAAAGGATATGTGAAAGTACTTCAGGAGCATGCTTTTAGGCCTAAGGGCCCTGGTGTCCCACAGAGCTGGTCCTCCAGGAGTCTAGGATGGGGGTTGTGCATAGCCACCAGGCCTACAGGCGGTGGCAGTGTGTTTGGAGATAGGCTGCTGAGACTACAGTGCCTTCTGTAGTTTCTGCTCTCCCTGGAGCCAAGGGAGCCAGGAGACTCTCAGCTCTGCTCCACATCTCCCGTGAAAAGTGAGAATCGTGGCTGTGTAACTACTCCATCCCCTCCTCCTCTCCGCTGCAGGCTGGATCCTCATTGACCGGTGTGGGAAGCACTTTGGTACGATTCTCAACTACCTTCGAGATGGGGCTGTCCCTTTGCCTGAGAGCCGCCGGGAGATCGAGGAGCTGCTAGCAGAAGCCAAGTACTACCTGGTCCAGGGCCTGGTGGAAGAGTGCCAGGCGGCCTTACAAGTAGGCATCACTCTTTCTTCCTGTATGAGCAGGGAGGCACCAAACATACCTGCTTTCCCCGTTTTCCCTTTCCTCAAAATGGAACCAGCTCCTCCCTTGTTCAGATGTGTGAGGGAACTCTGGATGCTCTCTTTTGGTCAGTGAGACCTGTAGGATACTTCCTATGTGCTCAGGTCACCTGACTGCTCTCTGATAGTCCTTGTGGCATTGGGTCATCTCATGCTCACTGTACCACCTTTCAGCAGTGAATAATGGAGTATAACCCCATATCCATTTTCTGCATCTATTTTGGGACTTAACTGTGACCCTATTAGTCAATGTGGGGAGCCCAGAATCCTCTCTACAGAGGTGTGTCTCACTCCTAAGCCAGACTGGGCCAGTAAAGTTGGGGACAAGGCTAGTGTTAGTCAGATCCCACAAAGTATGTGCTTGTGGATGCAGTCAGCAGTCTTATAGTTGAAGCAGTGTACTGACATGGTAGAGAACCAAGAGTCCCTTTGGGCTGCTGTAGGGCCACGATTTGTACACACAAGGCTCTTGTTTGTACCTTTCCTGAGCCACATGGCAGGGCAGGCTCTTCCTTGGAGCAGTACCCATAATGCTGAGCTCCTGACCTGTGCTTGCCACACACCACCTTTATCTTGACAGTTGTGAACTATTATAAATCTAAATGAATGTTGTAGCACTTGCATTGTTACTTCATTTTTATGATTATTAATGTAATGCATGGGGAGCAGGAAGTGGGGGAGTAATGCATATACATCATTAGGAAGTTAATAGTTCTGTGTGATTAAGGTAAAAAACACTTTAGTATCTCTTCCCAGCCACCTTCACCCACGAGGCAGTATCTCAGCAGTTTTTTCTATTTACTTGCATATTTTCATATAACTTCCTTTTATTAATTTTTCACTTTTCAATATTATCTACTGGCATTATATGGAAAAATTAGAATTTAACACATATAAACCCCAAGCTTACACTTACACATTCATTCTCCCAGCATAGATTATCATAATTTTAGTTACTGTTACTCAGTTTACATTAGAAATATAAGTCCTGTTAATTTGAATCACAGGTATTTTTTTAGCTTACTTTGTGAGTGTATATCCCTGATTCAGCCCCACATTGCCAGGAGGAAGGCCGGCTGCCGCGGGCTGTCCAGACACTGAGAGTCTCTCTCATCCTTGCCGTGGAGTTGTGCCCTTGGGCTCCATGTCTGTGCATCGTGCTTCAGCCTCAAGCACTGATCACATTCTCTTTGCTCCCACTATCTTCCTTGATATTTCTGGTTTTTTACTCACAGATATTGTTGTTTTTTTTTTTTTTTTTTCTTTCAGTTTTTATCTTTTTAATGCTTCTGATGAGTTTTTCATTTCTGTTATCAAATTTCCACTTCCTGGGAGCTTTTTCTTGTTTTCTGAAAGCTGCTGATCATTTTGGATTGCTTCAGAGGATGCTGCATCTGCTCTCATCTGTCTGATACTCTTCAAAGTTTTCTTTTGCTTCCTGAATTGTCAGGCTGGTTCTCTTCCATTTTTGTCACTTGTGTTGGCTTTGGTCTCATGTTTGAGAAGGTTCATATGCATAATCTGATGGTCCTTGGCTTCTGTTAAAGTTTAAGGCTCAGAATTTGCATGTGTGGCAGTCCTTGTTGTCCAGTGCCCTTCATGGTTGGATAATGGGCTGACTTTATGATGTCAGAATCTGTAAGCCCTTTCTTGGGTAGGTTATTGTATCTAGAGAAGTCCTCCCCCCGCTTCCTGTCTGGTGGGGCATAGGCCTGGCACAGTTGGCTGCCTCAGGAAAGTGGACCTTTCTGCTGGGCCGGGGATGAATATAGGGCTTGCTTTGTGACGCTTCTGCTGCCTGGCCCATGTTGCTGTGCTCTTGCCCTCACCTGCTAGCCTTCAGAGCTTTTCTCTGAGGCCTCTCAGCCTTTCTTGTCTGCCAGCTGGGGTTTTGACTCTCCATCTCCTTCATCCCTCATCTGTGGTCTGCATTTTCACCCTTGAAGTTTTGACATCTGCCTCACATCTCCCTTTCTTTTTCTTCTATTTTGTTCCTGTGTATTCACTACAGTGGGTTGTAGGAGCTTCTCATTAAATAATGTTTCATCTACCATGTTAAAAGTTTAGTTTCCAAGGCTGTTGAAAAATGTGTCCTGGTTGTTAGTATTTACTGGGCATCCTGGCCTGTAACAGCCCTGGCAAAGGGAACCCTTATTGGAAAACTCCACTCCTAGGCTTCTCCTTTCCTCATTCATCAGTGGTAAGAATCTTCCTCTCTCACCTCTCACTGCCCTGTCTGTGCTCAGCAGAGCTTATTTTTGCCCAACAGGCCAGTCTTAAAAATTCAGGGCTAGGCAGACCTCCTAGGCTGAAAGCATGTTTTGTTCCAGCAGAACAAAGACACTTACGAGCCTTTCTGCAAGGTTCCTGTCATCACCTCATCCAAGGAAGAACAGAAACTTATAGCGACTTCAAATAAGGTATGTTGGACACCCTTGTGGGACTTCTTTGTTACCTGGGCAGGGTGTGAGAATGGGAAGCTGCAGTTCTCCCGCTACCATGCCTGCTGTTGGGTGGTGGAGTGTCCTTCTGCCAGCAAGCTGTGTTTGTCTGGCCTCATTGACCTACATGCTAAATAACCCTTTTCTTCCTCTTTCTAAAACAATCCACAGCCAGCTGTGAAGTTGCTGTACAACAGAAGTAACAACAAGTACTCTTACACCAGGTAAGATGCCAGCCGGAAATCCTCACTCACTAGGAAACCTCCCTTGCATCACATCAGCCAGGTCTAGCTCCTTGTGTTCTTTTTGTATAAGGATGACCCTTCTGCACCTCTAGAGTGGGTAGATAGATACAACTTTGAGATTTTTAATGTATCCACAAAGTTGTACAACTAGCACTTTCTAACTTTATACAGCATTTTCATCCTCCTAAAAAGAAATCCTCTACCCATTATCAATCCTTACCTAATCACTTCCCTGCAAAACCTTAGTCATGAACCTATTTTCTGTCTGAATAGATTTGCCTATTCTGGACATTTCCTATGAATAGAATCATACAGCGTGTTTCCCTTTGTGACTGGTTTCCTTCACTTAGTGAATGTTTCCAAGATTTGTCCATGTTGGCCATCTATCAGCACTTCATTCCTTCTTAACGGTGTAATGGTATTTCATTTAGGGTTAGGCCACATTTTGTTTATTCATCTTTCAACTCATGGACATGTGGGTTATTTGTGCTTTTTGACCAGAGCATATAATGCTGCTTTGAACATTTGTAAGTTTTTGTGGGCATACGATTTAATTTCTCTTGGGTAAATAAATGCCTAGGATTGGAAGTGCTAGCTCATATAGTAACTTGGATTTTCTTCAGTTATTGCACTATTTTGCAGTATCACTAACCATCTGTATTGGTTTTTAAAATACTTTTTGGCTGTCTTGAGACCATATAACTCTAAAGCAAAAATTCGAGGGATGTGGTAGCGATTTAATGATGTTATTCAAGACCTGTAAACTGACCTAGATCAAAAGTCTTAGGGCCGCAAGATAGATCAGTGGACTAAGTGCCTGCTTAAGCAAGCACAGGAACAAGGTTTGATTCCTGGCACCACATGTTGTGCTGGCCCTGCCCTGCGCAGGCTGAGCCAGCCACCGAGACCAAGGTGGTGGCACGTACCTGTGATCCCAGCGCTGGGAGGCTGAAAACAGAAGCATCACTAGAAGTCCGAGCTGCGTAGTGAGACTGTATACCAAATACATTAAAAAAAATAGAGAAGTCTCCCTTGGGCTGTGCCATTCTGCCCTGCAGTGCTAGGTGGGGGCCTGTGTCTCCAGTGCCAGTGTGTGCAGGCCTGCATCCTCAGTGTTCTGCCTGTGGCTGTGCAGGGCAGGTGCTCGAGCATGCCAGTCAAGAGCAGGAGCTTAGAGCAGAGCTGTGTTTCTCAGGCCCAGCTCTGCAGTTTCTCGGTTCTGCCCCTGAATAGTTACCTGATTTCCCTGACCTTAATTTCCTTCTTTGAGCAGTGGGGAGGATAGCATCTTTTTGAGGAACTATTGTGAGTGAAGTGAGAGAGAAAATAAACCTTGTGGGGTCCTGTGTGTAGAAGCAGTTTAATTATTACACGCCTGTGGTCACCTTACTGAATGCCCCTTTTGCAGCAATTCCGACGACAATATGTTGAAAAACATCGAACTGTTTGATAAGTTGTCTCTGCGCTTTAATGGGAGAGTCCTATTCATAAAGGATGTCATTGGGGATGAAATCTGCTGCTGGTCTTTCTATGGTCAGGGCCGCAAGATTGCTGAAGTGTGCTGTACCTCCATTGTCTATGCCACCGAGAAGAAGCAGACCAAGGTAAGAGCCTCAAGAGAACAGTTTGAGTGGCTGCTCTGAAACAAGTGTTTGTGGGACTTCTTTCCATTTGAGCAAAAGAAACAGAGAAAGGTTTTTAGATGCTTTCCTTGCCTTGCGGTTCCTCATTGTGAAACTAGTTATTATCTTTGGGCCTTGAGGAGCCCAATGGTAGGTCTTAGAGAAACATCCCTCCCTCCCAGCATTCAGCAAGTAGAGACTGTCATGCTGTACCATATTCCCTTGTCATGTGTATGGATTCAGATTTGTACTTGTACCCAGGTGTTCCTGGCTGCCAGCCTGTTCCCATCTGATGCCGTCTGCTGCTACCTGTATTGTTCCTCATGCTCTTCCACTGCTTTTGCTTCCCACCAAGGCCCCGCTGCATCAAGTTTTGCTCATCAGAGTGACGGTGCCGCCTTCAAGATTTGACTTGGCTTTCTGGTCGTGTTCTACCATTTGTTTGCCATCAGTGTGTCCTTCTTTTGCCCACTGACGTAGAGCTGCCCACTGCCTCATAGGACCCTAATGTTCAATTCCTTAGCTCCCACCTGGGTTGGCTTCTTTTTGAACACATTTGACTCTGTGACTGAAGTGAGTGCATCCGTCTTTGTTCATCCTCTCCAAATCAGTAGGCTTGCCCTTCCTTTGACTTCTACCACCAAGCCATTCGGAAGGTTAGGGCACCTGACGGAGCACTGCTAGCAACAGGGCCTGCTGTGCTTCACCCTTCCTAGGTGTTCTGCTCGCCTGCCTGCCTTTGGCTGTGTGAGTGAGCTGGCTGTATTGGTTTCTTGTCCCTTTTCCTCCTCTCTCCCTTCCCCCTTCTTTTTTTCCCTCTCTCCCTCCTCCTTTTTCCTCATCTTCTTTACTTCTCTCACTTCCTTCTGCTCCTTTCCTCCCTTCCTCTTCCACCCCTGCTTTTAATCACACTGTACCCTGTCATTTCTTTCTCAACCTGTCTAAGGGAAATCTTTTTACCTATGGATTGGTTAGGGTAGGTTGGCTACAGGCTGATTGTCAAGCTTCTCATCACCTGGGTAGTCTGTACTCTCTTGCTCAGCTTACAGTTGACCCTGCAACTTTAGGAGGGACATAGGTCTGCGGGCTTTTGGAGCTGGCCTTAGAATGCAGAACAGAGAAAATCATAATGCAAAGTGGAAAGCAGAGCCTTTTTCTCCTGTTTTTAAACATTACAGGAAATTTAAATTGTACACAGAAGTACATGTGTACAGTAGTCTCCCACATACCTTCCTCCCAGCGTCAGTGGCCCCTAGCTCAAGGTGACTGTGCTCCATCTGTACCTACCCTTCCCCAGACACAGGGTTAATTTGACCACCTATTTTATTTATAATTGCTATACATAGAATATATTCTAAAAGATAGAAATTATTTTAAGGTAGCCAAAAAGGGAAAAATACAGTTGTTCCTTGGGTCACCAATTTAATTTGTTCCATGATTCTGGAAAAGATGGCCATGGTGATGTTTATTACCCAGTGCAGAGTTTGTGAACTAAAACCAAATTTTGCCAAATGCTTCTGCTTGTGAATCAAATTGTCTGCAAGCAAAAGTATTTGTGAACTGAGGTACTACTGTACTGAGGTTCAGTTCTCTTTTGAAGATGGCACGGGGATGAGAAATGCCTGTTCTCCCCATGCTGGCAGGTTCTCATGCTTTTCTCTTGCAAATTTTTTAAAGATATGAATTCATTCTATGACTAGACTTCTATTTTCTTTCTTTCTTTTTCCATTTTATGTATTTTGTACAGGATCTCACTATATGGCTCGGACTTGTAGTGATCCTCCTGTTTTCAGCCTCCCCAGCACTGGGGTTGCAGGCATGCACCACCATGCCTGGACTTGGTGTAGGCTCAGTGTACCCTGGGTGTGGAGCCAGGGCCTGCGCAGCATGCAGAAATGGGGATCGAACCCTGGTGCTTGTGCTTGCAAAGCAGGCATTTAATTCACTGAGCTATCTCACCGACCCCTGGACCTCCATTTTCTTATGGGTTGATTTTTTAAAAAATAAACCATATAATTTAAAAGGATAAACATCCCATAAGTTAAGTTTTAAAATGTTAAGAGCTTAATAGGGAGCAAAAGAAAGAGGCTGCAAGGTCCGCTCCAAGCTGTTTATTGATGCGCACATGGCTTCTGGAGCAAGCCTATGCCTGGGTGTATCAGGCCATCCAGTGATAGGACAAGGATGGAAGGCCAGGGCTGTGTGTTGGCTCCTTTTACCAGGAGTGCATCCGTAAGGATTCCTTCCTTCCTTCCTCCAGGGAAAGCCTGCTACCATGGCTTTCTGGGGACTTGGTGTTAGGGATGGCTGCTCCTATAAAACAGGTTCTCCTTCAGCTGGCCCAATCCTCTGGGAGCTGGGCTCTGGGGCTAGTGCTCTGGCTTTGTTGTCCTCAGCTAACTTTACAGATACCCTATTGTTTTCTTGTTTCTTTGTTTTTTTTTTTTTTAAGACAAGGTCTCATGTAGTTTAAGCTGGTCTTTCACCCACTGTGTAACCCAGGCTGGCCTTGAACTTGAGGCAGTCCTCTTGCCCCAGCCTCTGGAATACTAGGATGATAGGCATGCAACACCCTGCCTGGCTCCCTGCTGACACTGAGACCAGAGCTCTTCTCATCAGAAAAGAAAGTCCCTCGTCTAGGAGTGTGGCTCAGCAACAGAGAGTGTGCCTTACCTGGGTGTGGCCTTGGGTTTGTCTCCAGCATCACAAAGTTCTCTGACTCCTGCAGTCTCTGGTTGCTGCTACTGGATTGCTTAGAGGAGACAGTAGAGGACAGAAGAACAGAAAACTTAGACCTCTCGTTTCTTGTCACTTGGTGTGCGAGACTCTGTGGGCACCTCTGGTCACCAAAGGCCTGGTACTCTATTGTGGGGTCCTGCATTGATGGGGGGCAGCTTGGAGCACGTACTGCTGGGATAACCTCCCATGCCGCTCTTCCTCCAGTCCCTCTGGGGCTGCTTATTCTTGAGTCTTCACTCAGCTAGCTGCTGGTGCATCCTCACCTACTTTGGCAATGTCATTGAGAAAGAAAAGGTGGAGGGTACTTGCTACCCTGCTCCTGAAACCTTGGAATCCTGTCCTTCAGACTAAGTCTGGTCTGAGTCCAGTGCGTGGGACCCGCTTGTGGGCGCTCCTCCTTCAGGGACCCTTAGCCCGGTGATGGTAGCAGGGTCCAAGCAAGCAGCACTTAGGAAGGAGAGAGGTGACTGTCCAGACCAAAAGCTGTTTTCAAGCCATCTTCAGGAGGGCCTGTGTCTAATGGCACAGCTCTGTTGGTGGCAGCCTAACGGAGGTGACCTGAATGTTCTTCAGAGTGAACTGCTTGGTCATGTTGTCATATTCTTCATAGTTCCCTGATGTGTAGTTAAAAGTTACGGGCAGGAGGAAGGGGCATGAGCCTCTGGAAGCCTCCTTTATCTGTCTTTTAAAGTGTGTGACTATCTGCGGACTCTGAGAAGGTGAAAGGGGCAGTACTGCCTTCGTGAAGGGACGGCATGGGGTGGGGAGGAGGAAGAAACCAACTTCACTGTGTTCCCTTGCGCTCAGGTGAATTTAGCGCTGTGAACAAGTGTTGTCTGTGGAAAACAGCAGGGGCTTTGAAATAATAGCGACAGCCTTCATTAGCATACTGGGGCCCTCCTTAGCCTGGTGGTCATGGCTGAGGTGGCGGGCTCTGTGTGTGTCATACTAACTTGTTTCCCCTGTGTTTTGTGGGGGGACAGGTTGAGTTTCCTGAAGCCCGGATTTATGAGGAGACCCTGAATATTTTGCTCTATGAGGCCCAGGATGGCCGGGGACCTGACAATGCTCTCCTGGAGGCCACAGGTGGTGCAGCTGGGCGCTCCCATCACCTGGATGAGGATGAGGAGCGGGAGCGGGAGAGGATTGAGCGCGTACGGCGCATCCACATCAAGCGTCCCGACGACCGGACCCACCTCCACCAGTGAGCAGGCATGTGGACTCAGCCGCGGCCGCCTCTGCCCTCCGTCCTTCTCCCCTCCCCTGCCACATTCAGATTCTGTGCAGGCTTCCAGGCATCTTCTACTTTCCCTGGAGTCTGGAGATACTTTTGTAACAAGCCAGAAGATTATTTTGGTATTTCTCGACAAGGTGAATTGCTCCTGCCTTGACCCAGGTGTACGCACCCCCATAGTTGAACAAGCGATGTCCAAGGTCTCTGCTTTTCACGAGAATCGAGCCAGGCTTTCTTGGTTTTCAGAGGAAAAGTATGAATGAGCGTGAAATGTATGTGAGAACTTTGTTTGCAGTATTTATTTTTGTGGGTGCTGACTACCTATTAGGGCTTCTTGAGTGACACTCCCTTAAGGTTTCAGTTTGACAATTCCGAGAGAGGCTCTGCCGGCGATGGCCACCTGGGGTGTGTGAACTTTGTGTTTTCTCTTAGCCTCAGCCGACTGGCAGGCTCCCTGTTCCTGTGCCTTCTGTTTGGGCACAGTCTCCATGGCTTTCCTGGGAATCTATTCTGCAACGTGGCTCTGTCCCTAGAGCTTATTGATAGTTTCAGCTTGTGGCCTTGAAGATGAGCCCTAACTTGTGCCATTGCTTGTAACGTGTTCATTTTAGAACGTCTTTGGGTAAAAACTTGTGCTGCCTTGGCTGGTCTTTGCTGTGGTGCTGGCTGGGACTGTACCACGCCAGGCAAGGACTGGCACTTTCGCTGGCAGCGAGTGCCTGGCTGTCTTCCTATCTCCTGGCCTTCCACTTTCTGTCCATGTTGACCCACCCACTCCATTCCAGGAAGGCCCCCGACCCGCAGCAGGTGCAGCTCGCACGCTGTCGCTCCAGAGCATCCACTCCTTTCTCCCGGCCTTCTTCCACATTAACTTGGGCTTGCTTCAGCAAGTGGGTTCCTTGCCTTGTCAGGATTTGGGTTGGTGCGATTCCATCCTCCCAGCCAGGCACCCCTTACACCCCAGCCCAGGGGAGCTTGTCTATCCCAGGCAGCTTCCCTGCTGCAACATAGCCATCACCTGGAGACCCCCCCCCCTCGTGTTTGTCTCTGATTTCTATGCAGAATAGAGTGGCCATCCGTGAACAGGTTGAGAGGATGTGCAGATACCTTTGGGTCTGGTTTGTGTCTGTGTTCATACTTGTTTAGGGATTGTGTGCGACTGTTGGTGAGGATGTATGTTTGTGGGGCACAGGTGGCCCGAGTGGAGCCCGCTGTGCATGGTGCTCATCAGGACGGCTGTTCTCAGTTACCTACCTCCCAGCCTCCTCTGCACCTGCACAGGAGCAGGACTGAATCGTGACTGAAGTGGGTGGTTGAGACTAGACTAGGTAGAGTAGTTAGGAGGAGATGTGAATATGTGCCAGGTGATGGGTGGGTTTTGTTTGCTCAGCAAGGAGTCATTACTGTTTTATACCAAAGGTATTAACTTGGGCAGCCTTTGACACCTGTATCCAAAAAACGAGTTTCTATTTTGCGTCAATTTTTACAGCTTAGACTTTGTACCTGTGACAGTTGTCTGCCTTTCTTTTGTATCCAGGAGCAAAGCCTACAATATTTAAAACTTTAAAACAATCAAGACCAAACCTGAAAACAAGGTATTGGGTAGATGCTTTTTAAACTGTTGTGTGGGAAACTTTTATATGAGGCTATTTCGGTTTTATTAAGTGTTAAGGAAAGGGAGCTTACAAAATAATGTTTCGTAAATATTTTATACTGTTTAAGTTTTAAATGTTAACCCTGCCGTCTGGGTTAAACTTTTTTAAAGTTAAAGCGAATGTCAGTTCTGATGTTTTCTGTAGGAATGGAAAAGCCATCGTATAAATTCTGCTAAGTGTTTGTGTTAATAAGTGTGTGAAACAATCTGACTTGTTTGGGCTTTCATGTATGCCTTATGCCCTGCTGCTTCTGGCAGCTCTTGGTACCTTCACTTTCCTTCAACTTTGCACCTGCAAGTTCGTGTCTCTGCCTCACAGGGCTATGAAGAGGTTCGTAAAAACATTCCGTGGAGAATGTTTCTGTCGGCTGCATCTAGCCAGGAGCTGACAGACAAGCGTTGGCTGGTCCAAGCTCTGCCAGCAGGTAGACTACAGAAAGAAACTGACTTTTCATATGTTAGCATATGAGAGCTGAAGTCAGTATTTTTATTTATGAACCATCTAAGTAAACACTGGTTTAAGATTTGCTGAAGAGTAAGGCTTTATTTTGTTATAAGAGCTTACGGTTAAAAATGGGAACAGCTGTTGTTCCATGGTGAGCAAGCTCAGTCTGTGCTGAGTAAGTCATTGGTGGTGGTGGCTGGCGGTCCGAAACGGTTCCTGCACATCCTTCTCTGCTGCCTTCTTAGGGTGGACGCAGCGCGTCCCCAGTCCCTGCGTAGGTGTGTTCTCCTAGACCTTAACAGTTGCTGTTCGGGACCTGTGTGTGCCACCCCTCCCCCGTGTTCTCTTTAGGGCTTCACCTCAAGTCACTGTAATGCATTCAAGTGCATCATTAACCTTCCTGTCTCTCTGTGCTATGAAGAAAATGCTGTAGGTTTTAAGAATAGTCACTGTTTCTCTCTTGTACACGTATTTGTGAACGTATGTAAAATAAAAATTATGCTATGCTTCCAATTAAATCTGTTTTCCGGGTCTTTCCTGAAATGCTCACCACAGCAGAGCCCCTGGTAACAGAGCAGGTAAAGAGCTCCTGGTAAAGAGCTCCTACGTTCTACTCTGCTACCTTAAAGTTGTTCATGATGGAAGAAAAGATGAATCATTTTTAACAGCGAAAGGAAGTCTCAGGTGAAAATGCCACCTGCCTTCTAAAAAAGCAGAATGAGTCAGCTGGTGCTGCCACTGATTTAATGTGGGGACACTGGAGGACTGTCCTCACCACCTGGCACCTAATGAGCCCGCAGGAACGTACGCCAATTCCTTGAAACTTGTACGTTACATTTATTTAAGGAAACATTCAAATTGTGCAGCTTTATGAGAGATTTCATTTACTTTTCTTAGGTCATATGCAATGTTTCATTGTGTCTCAGGGCAGCTTGACCAAGGCAGGTATCTGTCACACACCTGGCAGTGCCACGTTGAAGGGCCCGTTGAGTGTAGGTGCTTTGTGGGATGCTGAAGAGGACGCTGCTTGGGTGACTTGAGGTCAGCTCCTGGAAGAAGACAGTTTAACGCAGGCACCTGCAGCTGCGAAGCTGAGGTCAGGCTTTGGCAGAACATGATATGGTGTTTGCAGATGTGGTGCTTTCCCAGGCACCACTGGCATTTTTTCTTAAAGACCTAGCTAACTGGGTCAAGTTCCGGCTTCCCAGTGCTTTCCTCTGTTGTAGCAAAAACAGTATTGGTAGAAATCAGACATTGCGCACCATCAGGACTTCGGCCGCACCGACACCTGGGAGAGAGCCGCACTTCAGAACCTCGCAGCTCCCCTCACTGAAGGAAGCATTTGCCGCCTCCAGTCAGCCTGGCCAAGGGGGCAAGAAACCAGCTTCCGCTCCTGTGAGACAGGCTGGATTTAGAGAGCGGCTCACTGAGTCTTGTCAGCTAGCCTGAGCCAGCCGAGGAGGAAGATAGACCAGAAGAGCGTCAGTTCTTGGGGGTGTGAGTTTTAAGGAAGCATTGCGCGTAAACTGAAAATGCACCTCGAGCCTTACATCCCAGTGAGCCTTACTTTAATTCCCTGAAGGGGCCCATTAGCTTATGAAAGATGTTATCAATGTGTAAGCATTTAAATAATGGAGGAGATACTTCATTTTTAATTTGTACCAAATAATTCTTCATGGGCTGGGATACAGCTCAGCAGCACAGCACCTGCCTGGCAAGTGCAAGGTCGTGAGTTTGATTTCCGGTACCCTCCTCCCCAAAATTCTTGATATACATAGAATATACACTTTATAAAGATTCCCACCCCCTCTGCTTTGAATATGTCATGTCCCAGGAGCACTGGATCAAAGCATGCTCTGCGTACTGTTTATCAGGACTGTCGGGACCCTCGGCCCAATGTGGGGGCACAGTCTAGGAGGACCAAGTCACCTGTGTGTGTGCTCAGGTTCTTCCTGAGATGGCAGCAATTCCCAAACCTTTCCGTCCTTAAGATCTGCAATCTCGAATTCTGACAAGGCCCACCTCCAGCCATCAGCTAAGGTGAACTCGAGCACGTGGATTTCAGTGTGGAGATGAGTTTGAGAACCCTTTGTCGCCCAGTAAAAAGTTGGACTTGTATGCTTGGTAAGTACTTAATGTCAACTGCTGCTTCCCTGACAACTAAATATGGCACGTGGTTTTCTCTGTTTGGCGTTTGCATTCATGCTTCCCCAATCAGCCTCTTCCTGTCTTTCAGATAGGAACTCAGGAATGGAGGGAAGAAATGAACTCGTTTTTTAGACTTGTATTTTCATCTAAAACTGCTTACCTGTCCCCAAGCCAGCCACTTACCACTGTTAACTGTCCATTTTTGTCTCTATAGATTTGCTCTTCTGGCCCAGTATCAAAAACTATTGTGCCTTCTTTCCCAGGACTAATATAGAACTGTAAACTTAAAATACACAGGTGACAAAGTTATTGACATAATTCTCTTTTCTTTCCTGCAACCTTTGGTCTGCAAAAGAAATGTACTTAGGAAACTTTATTAGTTTCAAAATTAAATAATCAAATTCCTCCCTTTTTGCATATTTAAACAAAAGAAGGAAACCCTTTGCATGAGTGGGCAGCTAACTTCTGCCGTCATTCTGAATTCAGCACCTTAAAGTCTTTGAAGGGCCAGTGTGCCAGCTGAGGAGTAAGTACACCCTCATCCTGGAACTCTCGCAGCGGCCTAGGTGTCCCCTCCAAGGAGGGCAAAACAGAGAACTCCACACAGTGCTCAGCACCCTCTTATTCTGCTTGTGAATTTGCTCATCAATTGTGGATTTGGAGCAGAGAAAAGAAGGGTCTTTGCCAAGAGCAACCTGCTCTGACAGGCACCGTGTTGCTTGCTTGCGCAGTGCTGAAGTTGCTAACGGCTCTTGGGGTCTGCACACCCTCTTGGGCACCTATGTGTCTCCCTAGATGCTGGTTAACAGGGGGTCTGTATGCATCACCCCAAAAGAGAAAAACTGGCAGCTGCTCCAGAAGTATTGAGAAAATGAGGCAAGGGTGCTCCACATGCAAGGAGCTTTGCTTTTCTCCACTAAAGCAATAATAGAGCACTTTCCCTAATAGACCATGGGCAGCCTGAGAAGCTGCAGCCCAGTGGTCTGAACAGCTGTGCCACCAGCCATCACAGCAAAGGCATGGCTGTGTCCTGCTCCAAGTCAGAGGCCCACCCTCCACTTAGTGACATGTCCCTCAGGGGCCCCCGAGGCACCTGCTTTGGAAACTGCGTGGGCAGACTGTTGCTTCCTGAGGTCAGCGAGTGATCACTGACCTCTTCCTGTCTCTAGGCCAATGTCAGAGGGTTGAGGACAGAAAAAGTGTTTCTGTAGGCAGGGTCAGGGGACACAGTGACACCTTCTTCCCCACACCCTGCTTTGAGGACAGGAGGCAGGCATAGGTAGAAGGATTGACATAGGTGTCCCTTTGATCTGTTGTCACCGTCTAACACTGAGCTCCTTCCCCAGCAGAAGATGAAACCACCTACCTTCCTTGAACGACATTTACAAGGTTCTCCTTCTTAACCAGCATGGCGAGCTTAGTAACCACCTCAAATACATGTTCACACAGGAGGATGGCATCTCCCTAGGTAGAAGGAGGACACGGTGGTTTTAGGATTAATGGTTAGAAAAACAAATAGCTCTAATCCTGAGGTTTTGTGGCACTTGATTTAAGATTTGGCACTTCCCAATTTTAGCGAAGATTGTTGGCCATCAATTACCTTTTGCTTGTTGTTCTCTGGTGATACATGAATGACCAAGATTCCATCATTCAGACTGCTAGTGGAGACACCTTAAGACAGTTCCAGAGTTAGGGGCCCAGAAGTGGGCAGCTTGACATTAATCCAGGAAACAGGAGAGAGACCACTCAAGGGTTCCCCAAACCCATGCCTTCTTCCTTCTAGCTGGGCCCAAAAGACAGAGGGCGTACTCCAGCAATCCTCATGCTACTGGGTTGTGAGCTGAAGCAAAACCCAGTCATTTTGGAAGGTGACCTTTGTCCAAACTGGATAGTTGAGTGAAGTGGGTGCTGTGGACATTTATACCAGAATAAGAGGCACAGACCAGGCCTGAGCCTTGGCCTTCTGGGTATCCTTCCTTTGTTTATCTCATTTGTGAGTTTCTTCATTGCTAGTTCCCAGAAATTAAGGCAACTTGGAAATGGCTTGTGGTTGCCCACAACTTACCTTTGAGGGCTGAGTACTCTATCTTCTGCTTGATTTTGGCAAGTTCCACCACATAAGCTGCTTTCTGAGTGAGGATGAGCTGCCGCTGCCGAGCCTTGAAGCCTTTTCTGTCATACTTGATGACGGGGACACCATACTGCAAAGAGGGGAACGTTACCACAGGAGACAGACAGTTACCTCATGGGGTGAGGGAAAGACTACGGAGTGTCTTGCTACTCAGAATCTGGTGAAGTTACTTCAAGTGCTCAGGGAGACCAGACATTTAGCATGAAGAGATTTTTTTTTTCTTTTTTTTCCCTGTGCCCTGTTCTATACACGAGACATTGTGATTCCCAGCTCTGCCTGACGTGCTACCCTCTGAGGAAGCCAAGGCTGTGGCCACCCAGCCTCACAGGTATGGTCTGAGAGGCCAGTGGAGAAGACACCCTGGCATGAGGACCCTCACAGCCAGCAGGATCCCCTTCACACAGGCTTCTCTCCTCCAGGGAACAGTGGGTGAGAGCAGTTGCCCACACACAGCAAAAGCCAGCTTGCTGCTGCTCATAGGCCAAGCCATGGCCTTGACCACTTTGCCTTGCTTGCCCCCTCAGTGCTTCCATTATCCATAACTACAGAAGGTCAGAGGCACCCACGGTGAAAGTAATCTGCATAGGATCTCCCGGCCACTCCACGGAGAAGGCAGCATCGGCTTCCAGAAGTCTACCCACCCCTCACTTTGTGGTAAGTTCCTGGCTATGTGTCTGCATTTCATAGGAAAGTGAATCGACACAGGTTTTAGGATGACAGGGAGAGCCTGTAAGAACAGCAGCAGGTATCTGGTGGTCATGTGTCACCCCACAGTCTCTGCTGACATCCAGCACAGCACAGCTGAGCGCCTGGGCTGCCGAGCTGCACTGGGTCTCAGTGGCGCCCCCAGCACTCTGCGCTCAGGTGTGACAGGGATTCCTGCTCAGGTCTGAGCCACACATGTCCTTACCTGGATTTTCTCATTGCTCATTAGTTGGAACACTTTGGGATTAATGTCTCCTTCATCTGGGGAGGGAACCAGAACACTGTGAATCATCGCTAAATGCCAATGCTGAAGAAGGCGCTGCTGTCTACCGGCCTTTCGTTCCTCCAGGCTGAGGTCTCAGCTGGGGAAATGGCTGTCAGGAAGTGCTACAGAGATGAGCCTCTTGCCTTCCTTGGAAACAGAGCGCATGGACAGAAGACGTACTTACCTATCCGGGTGTTCACAAAGGGTTGATTTAAACTTTCTGCATAGCCTTCTTTCTTTCCTCTGAATATCTCACTTGTAATTGCCTTCTGCTGCATCTGGTAATACACGAAGTACAAAAGTGGTAGCCCCTGGGCTTGCTTTGGGACAGAAGAGCTTTGCACCCACAGTATCAATCAGTTTGCTCGAAAAGCCACTGGAGCCATGTTATACTTTGGCATAGGTCAGAACACATTCCTGGCTTGGGCCATAATCCCCTAAAAATCACACTGGTAGAAATTGAAGTTGATGCCTCAAGCCCTTTGCCTGCAATGGTTAAAAGCACTTCAGAGAATAGCTTTCTAGGTCAGAGTTCAGTGAAATACACCCCATGGGCCAAGTGCTGCCTGTTCTGTGTAAGTAATTTTTATTGGGATATAACCATGGCTTTTGCTTACATGTCTACAGCTGCTTTCCTGCTACCGCCGTAGAGCTGAATACTAACAGATTGTACGGCCCATAAAGCCAAAAACATTTACTCTCTGGCTCTTTAGAGAAAGCACCTGCAGGTAATCGTTAACAAAGCCAGACCTCCCCCAGAACTTGTCCGCCTTCTTTCTAGTGCAGGCCCATCTGGCTTCAGTTCCTGCAATAACCGGATGCGAACACCAGCTGACAGTCATTGAGGATTCTGTGTGTTTATCTTCAGTTCACCTACAAGTCAGGGGAAGTGGCCCCTCACGTGCCTACCATGGCTTTCCACTCGGCTGAGACCCCGTGGCAGTACTTTCGGACCAGGTTCCTTGTGCACATCTTCCTGAGCAGGTCCGAAGCCTGTGTAGAGAGCACATTTCTTACCCACATACCTCATTCACACTGGCTTGGGCTGCGGTGGCCAAAACAGACACTTTTAAAACCCAGCAGTAATATTTTACAAAACAGCTAGGCTTCCTAGCTGGCTGTAACTTCTCCGTTGCTTAACAAGTGATTCTCGGACTTTTGAGTATGGTCATGAGTCCCGTGAGGACTTGGGATAGACAGAGATTCCTGGGGGTTTTGACTCCGGGGACCTGGCGGGGGCAGGGAGGGGAGCCCAGGAATCTCACGGTAGCTCCAGCTACACTGCAGACACAGGGATCTCCAGGCCATTGTTGGAGAAACCTTGTGACAGTCATTGGGAAAGCTGCCTCAGACAGAATCACTCAGACGGGCTCTAGTCAGACTACCATTGGCTTTATAAATTCTCATAGGAACATGATGACTTCTGACAAAAGCTCAACTTCCATCAGTGCCCGCGTCACTTGTCACATCCAGGGCTCAGTCCTGACCGTTTCCAAGATGCTGGGAGGCCTCAGCCAGCTCTTGTCCAAGACATTCTTCGGGACGTGATACCGAAGATTCAAGATGTAATTCTTGCGCACCAACACTAGAAACTCCTCATCGTCTGGAGAAAGGGGTTTGTTGCGATTGATGAATCCGTTGACGAACCTCAAAAGGAAAGTGTTTTGTTAGGTTTCTGGCCTATTTCCTCAGAAGGATTTTTTTTTTTTGTGCCACTCAGGTTGCCTTCAGGGCAGTTCTGGTTTGGCTTGAGGATGAGGGGATCGAAGCACAGCATCCTGAGCCTGACTGCTTTGTTTCAGCAGGCACTTAAGCACCTGAGCTAACAGGCAGGCCTCCTGGCCCATTTCCCTGGAACTTGGCATTCTCTCTGCATTTGATTCAAAGGATGCCAAAATAACAGACGTTGTTTAAACGATTATGTAAGATAGAAGCCAGTAATGTTAGCCCAAAAGTCAAGTCTGTCTCAGAGTTATGCAGTCTTTCACTCACACTGCTTGCTTTTTTTCTTTAAAGACAACGTCTTGCTATATAGTTCAGGCCCTGAATTCACTATGAAGCCCTGGATAACTCTAAGCAGTCCTCCTGCCTCAGCCTCCCAAGTGCTGGAGACAGGCACACACCCCCATGCCCAGTATCACCTATACTGTTTTCTGTTTTGAAGGAGATCCTAGCTTGGTTAGTTACTAATTCTTTAAAAAAAAAAAAAAAGTGTTAGGAGATATTACATAAAAGCTGGATTTCGACTTTCCTCGAAACATCCTGCAATCTGGCAGCTGCAGCTTAGTCTTTCTCTAGAACGGCAGTCAATCAAGAGAGAACAGTTCCTACCCTAATGGAAGACAGCTGAGCCTACCAGTCTGCCACGGTCCCCGCGCACCCTCTTATTTTTACCCAGTTCTTGAGACTTGCTTCCCATTGAGCCATCCATCCACCCACCCATCCATCCATCCACCCACTCACCCACCCACCCATCCATCCATCCATCCGTCTGTCCATCCATCCATGCATGTGCATGCATGCATGCATCCATCCATCCATTCATCCATTCATGCATGCATGCATGCATGCATGCATGCATTCATTCATTCATTCATTCATTCATATATTCATTCATAGATTTCAACATTGATTTTGAGACAGGGTCTTGCTCTGTATCCCAGGCTGACCTTGAACTCATAGTGATCCTCCTGCCTTAGCCTGCTGAATGCTATAACTGTGTATACTTGTATTACAGATGTGAGCCACTAGGCCCAGTGGTTCAGGAAGCATTTGTCTTTAATATACTGAACTGTGATCACCCTCAGAATCAGGAGATCAAATTGAATTCCCAGGAGCATCTGGAAGGGAAGATCTCCTTTGTGCCCAAATGCCAGCATCCCAAAACTCACATGTCTACTGACCTCCCTGCCATACCTGGAACTTACCTTCTTATGATCTGTATGGCCCACTTTCTCCTTTTGACCTCCTTGCGAGCCAGCACTCCACGCCAATGAGCTTCCAGTTTGGTGGCTGAAAGAGTGCACTGCTGGCATTAGAATCTGAACACAAACACAACAGCTTGTGCAGAAAGGTTCATCTCCCAGCACACAGCTGGGAACCCACTGGAGTGCTCTGCTGGCTCAGAGATGGAAAGCTGGGTGTGTGTCATTTGTTCTTACTTGGGGTGCTCAGACAACCGGGGAGAGAGAACAGAGGCTGCCGTGGAAGCTTCCAAGGCCCTTTCAGAGCTAAAGCAGTGCTCGCAATCTAACTGTGTCCTCACTTGCTTTTGCGTTTCACCCAGCACTCACATTGATTTAGCTGTCCACATTGGAAAACTTGGAATACTAAAGTGGAACACACGCACATTAGATCCTGGCTTGTTTTAAATATCCCAAGTTTTAGATACTTTTCAGAATTTTTTTCTTTTTGGCAGTACTGAGGATTAAGCCAAGGAACTTGACACTGACTGGGCTCAGGTATCTTTTATTTTATATTTTAAAACAGTCTTCCTAAGTGGCTGCATTACCCAGACTGGATTCAAATGTACAGTCCTCCTTCCTGGGCCTCCTAGAGCGCTGGGTTTCTAGGTATATGTTCCCCACACTCAGCCGTTTTTCACTCTCTGTTGTCAGATTTTTTTTAAAATTTTATTTATTTGTGTGTGTGTGTGTGTGGCCAGCTCAGCCCACCAGGGGGCGGGGCTGGCTGGCATGTGGTGCTTGGGGATTGAACCGCGGTCCCTGTGCTTTGCTAAGCTTGTTCTAAGTAAGTGCTTTAGACCACTGAGCCATCTCACCAGCCCATGTTGTCAGATTTTTTTTTTTACACGCCTTTCTTTCCTTCTCCAGAGCAGTGCTGTTTCTGTTATAGAAGCAAACAAACAACTGACAATGACCCCAGTGGGCATCAGCAGAACCAGAGTATGGATGGACGTCCCATACAGCTCAGGGGCCGGCACACTGGCCGAAGACCAGCCCCCTGTTAATGGGAAGGGTCAGTGCAACACAGCAAGGCCCATTCCTTTATATATTGTCTAAAGCTACTTTCAGGCCTCAATGGCAGAGCTGAGAGATTGGGACAGAACCCAAATGACTCACAAATCTAAAATATTTACCATCTGATGGACCTCTGACATAGGGAAGTACCAAGCAGCTATAAATGAATAAATCTGCCCATCCCCTGATTGGATTATAAAAGAATCACTCCGTGCAAAACTATGACTGTAAAATATTGTTAAGTTTGACACATGCCGAACTATAAATGCATTGAGTGCTGTACCCGTAGATGGTGAAACTGTAAAGAAAAACAAGGGATTAAGAACTGTACACTTAACAGGTCACTTCTAAGAAATGGGGGTGGGGTGTGGCTTGATGTGATTTCGGAGGGGCCTCTAGGGTACCCCCAAAATTATCTTTCCAAAGTGGACAAAGAAAACGTGCCCATGGAACAAACAGGCCACGAGGTTATGATCTCCAGGCAGGAAGTTAGAAGGAAGAGGCCTCAGGCCTGAGCGCACACCCAGGGTTCAGGAAGGGTGGTGTGGGGAGGTGGGGGTGGGGCGGATGGAGATAGTGCCCGGCTGATGAGAGGGCGAGAGTGTCGGTCTGGCGCTGTGCACCTACCTGCTTCTTTTCTCTTCACATATTCTCTCCTTCCTAAGCAGCCTTTGTATGTGGCTTGGATTCTTGCAACTCGAGATAAAACAAAAGTTTTGGTGAAATGGCTTTCATTTGTGTGCCTTTGTGGTTGTGGCCCTCCCCCACCCCCCCGGGGCACCCCCCCCCCCCCCCCGGTCTGCACCCCCCCCCCCCCCCCCCCCGGGTGTAGCAGTGCGGCAGTGGCACAGGTTGCTGACTTGGCATCACGGGGTTGTGATCGGGTGGACCGTGTTAGACCTGGCTCCCCACGCCATCTAGTCAGTTCTTCTCCACCTTTCCCTTTCCTTCCCTCAGGGTGGGTAAGAGCCCAGGTTCTGCAGTAAGCCTTAGGGATGGTCCCTGGGCTGCAGGCACCCCAAGAGGCAGGCCTTGTTACATAGTTTACAGTTCCCATTCATAACAAACACCCTGGCTGCAAGCTTTGAACCTGTACCTGCCAACACCAGACACTCGTGCAAATAGTTTTAAAACCTGACTGGCCCGGGTGGGGGTGGGGGTGGGGGTGTCGCATGGCCTCAGGTCTTTACTGCACAGCAGGGTGTGCCCCACACGACCAAGAGGGTGCAATGGCGTTTAAATACCCACCTGCACCTAAGACTGCTGCCCAGCACTTGCTTCAGCCGCAGTTCATACGTACCATCATGAACTTGTAGCTGGCTTATAGCTCCAAAGTGAATGTTTCTAACAGTTACAGCAGATACCTGCTGTTTAAGATTTAGCCCCCCATGCTAAACTAACTTGTTCATTTCGCATTCTGTTGAAATTAGGGGCTCCCCCCCAAAAGGTCATACCTAATTGATGTTTACTGAATTCAAAGGCATCTTCAGTGGCAAACAGAGTTCTGGGAAAGCGAATGAATATTTTGGTTCTAGAAGTGAAAAGAAATGTTTTTACTATGATTGGTCATTTACCTCCTATAAGAACAGAATAGCCTCCTGCCCCCAATTTGTGTCTACTCAGAAAACGCAGACTTGGTCTTGTAGAAAGTCTGTATGTGTAATTAAGGGTGGAGATGAGGTGGTCTGGATTTGTTGGGCCTTAAAATAGATGAGATTGTCCTTAGAGAAGAACTAGGTGTGGTGGCATGTGTCTGCAATCTGAGCACCCTAGGAGGCTGAGGCAGGAAGACTGCAAGTTTAAATCCAGCCTGGCAACTAAGTGACACCCTGTCTGAAAATAAAAGGTAAAAAAAGAAAGGGCTGCAGCTGTGCAAGGGCTCTGGGTCAATCTCTAGTACTGAAAAAGGAAAAAGGAAAAGAAAAGGACACAAGGAAGGAGACCACGTGAGGATGGCCCAGATTACAGCAGCATTATAGCTGAGAAGCACCAGGTCCCCCCCCCCCAGCCCAAAGAGGTAGAGATTTTTTTCCTAGACGCCCCAGAGGGCCTTGCCAATACTTTGATTTTGGACCTCTGGCGCCCAGAAGTGTGAAAGAATATGTTGGTGTAGTGGTGACTTGTGCAGCCCTGGTACCTGAACCTACCATCTGCGCAGGAAGTTGTTCAAATTTTGCTCTGGGGCTTTAAACAGTGACCACAAAGAAGAGAGGTCTGGAGCTACACATAGTAGCACACGCCTGCGATCCCAGCTACTCAGGCCAAGGCAGGACTGGGGAATTTTGTGAGACCTTGACTCAAAAAAAAAAAAAAAAAAAAAAGGCTGGGATGTGGATCCGTGCTTGCCCCAAGATTCCATCTCAAATACTGGAGGGGAAAAAAAAAAAAAAAAAGGATCCTAAACTTACAAGATCCCATTAAGCAGCGGAAGTTAAGTTTTAAGTGCTCATTTTAGCTTGCCTGCAGGCCCACACACCCACCTTGCAAGGGACACTTCCCAGGGTAGCCTCTGGGGGGCAGCAGAGCACCATGTCTCAAGATCTTTTTTTTTTTTAAACATTTATTTATTTATTGTGTGTGTGTGTGTGTGTGTGTGTGTGTGTGTGTGTGGCCAGCTCAGCCCACCAGGGGGCGGGGCTGGCTGTCATGTGGTGCTGGGGGATTGAACCGTGGTCCTTGTGCTTTGCTAAGCTTGTTCTAAGTAGGTGCTTTAGACCACTGAGCCATCTCGCCAGCCCCATGTCTCAAGATCTCGCTCCCTCTTCCAGGTTATGGAATGGGAAGGACAGAGACTCTGACCTCTAGTCAGCCTCACTCAGGAAATGCTGAGCTGATGCCCCTCAGGTATTTGGATTGAATGAGTAAGTGATTCTTGGACTATGGCCCAGGATAGGAGAGGAGAGATCAGAGAGTGGCCGCGCACAAGCAGGAGGTAGGAACTGGCAGAGCCCACTGAGAGCCAAAGGCATAGATCCCCGAGGCAGGGGGGCCTTGTGGCCCAGGGACAAGTCCTCCGCGTGCTTTAGACACTGATCCGTGCACTAAATGTGCCCTGACCCAAACGACTAACAAAACATGCGAAGAATCCGGATTCACCCAGCTGCTTTATACTGAAAGACATACATGAAAGTTTCTCGGTCACGGACAACTGTACCTTTGCCCACTGTAATGGCAGTTGGAACACCACTTTCTGGGGGTTCCTGCACCTGGTGTAAGTCCTGCTGTTGCATCTGGGAGGTCACATGTACATTGGAACAATAGAAAAATCCAGGCACAAGGGGGTAAGGAGGCCACCCCTCTTCATTTTTCAAGAAGAGGCTCGTCTCAGCTTTTAAGCTAGATCTAGAACATAGGACCCCTTTCTTTTTTTCTTTTTTGGTACCAGGACCAAACTCAGGACCTTGGGCTTGCCAGGCAGGCACTTGGGCCAGTGAGCTGTCTCCCTGGCCTAACAGGGTTCCTTTCAAACCTCACCTCCTCTTTCTAACCATTGAGGGCTGCATCTCAGTTGAGCGAGTGGAAACATCTGCTGGCAAACTCATAGACGTCTCTTAAAACATGAGGCTCTAGGTAATGCAGATTGATGCACAAACGATTTCAACTGCAGGGAAATACCTAGCGGCTTCCTGGCCACTTACTTCCCTAACTTGTACTCCTCGGGCTTGTAGCCGATGTACTTGATCAGCCGTTCCACACCCTCTCCTGGAGGCCCGTGCCAGTGTGGCCAGGTGTCTGGGCACAAGGACTTGTACCTGCCCAGAGAGAAGGACATGCAGCAGCTGTCAAGGTGCCTCATCCTCCCCTCCCCCAGGTGCGCTTAGCCCCCCTGCAGTATCTCAGCTGCTCCATGTAGTGTAGCCGTCACAGCACACAGATCTCCTTGAATTAAAACCATATACACTTGGCAGGAGACAAACGAGAGTGGTTCCTTCAAGTGGGCAGTTTTCCCTGTGCGCCTAAAGCAATGATGTCACTGGACACTCAACCCTAGTAGCTCAGTTCCATTCCGCAGCATGAATGCAAGAGGGACAACAACCATGTCCGCACAAAAACTTGGGGTGCAAATGTTCATAGCAGTGCTATTCACAGGAGGCAAGAGGTGGACAGCTCTAATGCCTATCAGCAGGCAGCTGCGCAGAGAAACCAGCGTGGACCTGCACCAAAAGTAAAGCTACTGTACACCTGGACCTGGTGGCGCTGCCTGTCACCCCCACTGGATCAAGCAGAATTTCTAGTGTTAGTTTTTTGAGAAATCTCCACACTGATTTCCACAGTGGTTGCACTAGCTTACATTCCCATAGTGTAGAAGGGCTCCTTTCACCCCGCGGCCTCACCAGCCTTTGTTATTATTTGATTTTTTTTTAAATGTATTTACTACACAGAATGGACTTGTAGTGATCCTCCTGTTTTCAGCCTTCCAAGTGCTGAGATTACAGGCCTGCAACACCACACCCAGTCTCAGTGCCATCTCAGCATGCCCCGGGAGCAGGACTGTCATGGCACACCAGGGATCGGTCCCTGTGCCTGCCTCAGCAGGCGCTTTAGTCCTCTGAGTTACCTGGCCAGCCCTTTATTTGATTTCTTGATGGTGGCTATCCTCTCTGGGGTAATATAGAGTCTGTTGTTTTAATTTACATTTCTCTAGTAGCCAGTACTGTTGAGTATTTTTTCATGTGTCTACTGGACATTTGTGCTTCTTCTGTGAAGTGCCTGTTCATTTCACTGGCCCATATTTTGGTTGGGTTCTCTATTATTAGGTTTTTATGGTTTCCTAAATGGTATTTTTATTTTCTTTTGCTGTCAAAGGTACTAAATTAAGAACCAAAGTGAGTTCCCTAAAGGACACCCTTTTATGTATCACTGTGTCCCAAGGGACGGCAGGTAGTAGGCACCCAGCTTTAGGGGACGTGGACAGCAAAGCAAGCTTTACCTTTGCAAGAAATGCTCGTACTTCCGCCTGTACGCAAAGCCAGCCCGTCTCACCCGTAGGTGCTCCATCAGCCCCAGGTACTTGATCTGATGCCTTACGAGGAAGTCATCGAACTTGCCTTTGGAGAAACAGGAGGGTCAGTGACAGGAAGGCCACCCTGTGGCTCTGTCTGCACCATGCCAGACCGGAAGCTGCAAGCTGATGGTCCGTGGGCTGAGTCTGGCCATGGAAACATTTATTGGTCCTTGTGTTCTTCAAAGGGAGAAGTTTCTAGATTTCTGGTTTCTCCAGAGAAATCATGAGATGTGGCCAACCCGGGCCCACAGACCCAGGTAGCAACAACTGACCAGAAGGGAATGGTGCTACCAGTGTCCTCTACAGCTTGCTGGGGTCTCCGCCACTCCCTATCGCCTTACTCCTGGTCTGCCCTGCCATTTGTCCTGCCTGCCTGGCCTCTGTGAGCCTCTGACCGTAGACTTCCTCACAGATCATGGCAAGGGCGTAGGAAGTATCTATGTTGGGGTGAGGGGCGTTGGAGGGCTGCTCACGGGCTGGGGGCAAGTCACGCCGCACCCCTCACCTCCAGCACCTGCTGGGCTTTGCTGACTTGCTCCTGAAACTGGCTGTGGGCCGCCGAAGGTCCTCCCCTCACAATTCATTCACCTTCCACTTTAGAAAGGAACAGCATGGTTTTGCGCCCTAGGCCATGAGCTGGGGCAGTTTTAAGGCTCCTGAGCCACCGCCCTGGTGCTTTGCCCCCAGCCTCTTCCCCTGAGCTTGGTGTTCAGAACCATTGCACTCACTGGGTTCTTTCCTCTCATTGGGCTTAATGCAGCGGATGTACGAAGGTTCCTTGGAGATGAGAATTTCCAGCAGGCTGCTCAGGCTGTTCTTAAACTGAGTCCCCACCTGTGGAGTGAGAAAGATCAGCGGAGACAGCTTCCACACAGTGAGAAAACCGCGCAGTGCGCGAGGCTCCAGCCTCTAGAGGCCGCAGCTCCTGGGGAGTCGCCCTCCCTGCTGCTCTCCTGCTGGCAAGAGGAGGCTGTGGATGTCCTGACCCGAGAGGCCCAAGGCTGCTCCCCTCAAACAATCGCTGGACAGCGCTGTCCAGGATGCAGTCCCCACTGAGCGCCCCATGGGAGCCAGGGGCTTCACGGAGCCTGGAGGCACCTCCTCCCCTTGCCCTTGTCACCACACTTCCGTCGGGACCCCGCACTGTGGTAAGCTCCTGGTTGGTGGGTGCTCTCTTCGGGCATCCTCTCCCACTGGTGATAAGCCCCCGAGGACGGGGAATGAACTGGTGTGCAGTCGAAAGGCACATATTTGGAAGGATCTGTTAGACAGCGCTGCTTCCAGAGAGGGCAGAGGGCGGCTTGGAGGGCACAGCTAGCCAGAGGGCGAAACCCACGCAGGGGACTTCTGCTCCCTTTCCAGGTCTGCGTGGTGCCTCCTCCCCGCAGCCTCTCACCGTGGGCGGCCGCTTCCGGCTCTCCAGCTCAGCCACCAGGAAACACTCCCTCAGGATGCCGTTCTTGCAGCAGCACAGCACCTGCAGGGGGAGAAGTAAGCCCCTCCGTGGCCCCTGCAGAGCTCCAGAAGGACGCACAAGAGACTCAGGTGTGTGGAGGTTGCGGGGGCCAACTGCCGCCTGGGCACCTGTGCACGTTCCTAACTAAAACAGTGGGAGCCCGGCATGGTGGGCACACCAATAATCCCAGCACTCGGGAGGCTGAGGCAGGAGGACTGCTGTGAGTACCAGACCAGCCTGGGCTACACAATGAGCTCAAGGACAGCCTGAAGTGCATAGCGAGACCCTGTCTCAAAAAGACGGAAAAACTAGTTTGAAATTCTTTAAAAGTAAACCAAGACAAAACAAAGGAACGATGGGCCCACTGAAAATGTGTGAAATGAACGATGCAAAATGCAGAACTGCACGGACTGCGTGTATAAAGAGAAAGCAGAGGGGGGAGATACAGATCCACACATCGTGGACTGTGTGATTCCTTGGAGAGATACACAGTAACCCAGGAAGAGTGGATGGTTCTTAGGAGACAAACTTGGTGGCATGGGGCCAAGGACACTAGGTTTTGTACTGTTTGATTTCCCCCATGTACATATTTTCAAAATAATTTCTATTATCTGAACTCTTGCATTAAAAATTTTTTAATTCTAAACAAAAATTTTCTGTACAGCCACATAATAGGATATTACACAGTCTTCAAAAGCAAGTTTGGATAAATGCTACAACAGGAAGGAACCTTGAGGATGTTATGTTAAGTGAAACAAGCTAGACCCAAAAGGCAGCTAAGGGGAGGGGCCTGCACTAGTCATATTCCTAGAGACAGGATGTAGAATGACTACTGGGAGCTGGGTAAGAGGGGATGGGAAGTGGCTGTTTAATGGTTGTTAAGTTTTGGGCCTTCAAGATAGCTCAGTGGACTAAGAGCCTGCTTTGGTAAGTGCAGGGACTAGGGTTCAATTCCTAGTCCTGCCTGCCGTGCTGGCCCTGCCCTTAGCGTGCGTTAGCCTGCAACTGAGTCCGGGCATGGTGAGGCACTCCTGTAATCCCAGCAATGGGGAGGCTGAAAACAGGAGGATCACTACAAAGAGTCCAAGTTGTGTAGTGAGACCCTGTACCAAATACATAAAATGAAAAAAAAAATAATGATACTAATGGATATTAAGTTTTGTAAGATGAAAAGATTACTCCATAACAATGTTTAACTAAACTGAACTGTACACTTTCAAACACAGTGGTAAATTTTATGATTTATGTTTTGCTACAATTAAAGAAATTGATTGGTATTTATTAGTAACAGAATGATGAGATTCATCTCTATAATAATAAAATTTAAAAAGTTGAAACCTTTTTCCAGTGTTGGGGCTTGAACCCAGGGCCTTGGGTATGCTAAGTGTGTGCTCTGCTCTGAGTTGTAATCCCAGCCTCCAGCAGTTCTTTTAAACCCCTCCCACTTCTAAGGTAACAGAGGTGAGAAAGAGTTTGCAGTGAGGAGATGACAGGGTGAGAAGTACTTCTTACTCAAGTCAGAGGGGGCTGGGGCAGCTCAGCCCTGGCCTGGGGGTGGGGGTAGGAGAAGCAGAAGGTTCCCAGGGGGCCGGGACCCATGGGGAGTCAGGAGAGGGTCACAGTCCCTTTCATCAACCAGCCTCTGCTCCACAGAGACCCCAAGAAGATGGGTTCGCCTCATGCACGGTTGGAGAATCTATCAGGAAGTCCCCAGCTGGGGGACCACAGCTCGATCCTCGGCACCACATGTCATGCCAGCCCCACCCCAGGGCAGGCTGCAGTGGCCACAAAAAAAAAAAAAAAAAAAAAAAAAAGAAAAAAGAAAAAAAAGAAAGAAAAAGACAAAAGAGAAACACACTGGATTGGTTGCAGACTTACTTCTTTTAGATGTCTATAAAGAAGATCATTGTTTTTTTCCAAGAATCCTGTAATAAAAAAATTGAATCAATGGCTTTGCCTAAAAGTTCCAATTCCATCCCCACTGACTGCCAAGAGAAACCTTACCCAAAATGTTTAGGCTTAGACCAGAGTTTGTGCAGCCAGGTACCATGGAATTTGGGCTGGGTCACTCGCTGTGGTGGGACTGGCCCGCGCACTGCAGGGTGCTGGTGGCACCCAGCCCCTGTTCTCAGTGGTGTTCTCCCTGGTGTGACAACCAAATCTGTCTCTGGACTCTGCCAGACGTCCCTGGGTGGAGCATGAGCCCCTGTGAGAACCAGGTTTCTGAACCAAAATTATGGCACACGCTGTAGTCTACGCCTGATGAGCCGTCCTGTGAATGTCCAGACTTTGCACAGAGCCTTGTGCACATGCTCTCATCCAGCGGCAAAGAAATAAATACACGCACACAGCTCTGTGGGAACCGTGGGAGGGGCACGGAGGAGGAAACCACCCATCTACCGAGAAAGAGCAAACTCGTGCACCACGACTAGTGGCAGCCAACAGCATCCTTATGCAGGTCCTTTACAACCGAGGGCCTGCCTTGTAAGTGTGCACTAAACCCTCGTCAGGTAATGATTCAAGTGGCATTATGAATAATCACAACCAGCTACAAATGGCACGCATCAAAGAAAAAACACATCTAAAATGTCTAATATATACTTTTTTAGGTGACAACTTTGAATTATTCAAACTGACACTTCTTTTCCTCTTCCTCCTCTTCCTCTTCCTCCACTCCTCCTTCTTTTCTTTTTGGTACTGATTGAACTCAGGGCCTTTAGACTGAGCTCTATCCCCAGCCCTTTATTATTTTTTATTTTGAGGTCAGGTTTTGCTAAGTTGCTAAATTGCCCAGGCTGGGCTCAAACTTGCAGTCCTCCTGCCCAAGCCTCCTAGTGTGCTAAGATCATGGGCATGTGCCACCACACCCAGCTCGAAACTGATTTTTTCATTCTGGTAAAAATACATATAAAATGCAGCATTTTAATCATGTGCAACTGCACAGTCCGGTGGCGTTGAATGCGCTTGCATTTGGAGCAGCCATCAGTGCTGTCCATCTCCCGAACTTTCTGAACATCTCAAGCTGAAGCTGCACCCATAAGCAGCCATTTCCACCTCCTTCCTTCCCTATGAATTCGACTTCTCTAGGTACCTCAAGAGGTGGAATTGTCGCTTTGCCACTGGCTTCTCTCCCTTAGCACAATGCCCTCAAGGTCCACCCAGAGTGTCAGAATTGCCTTCTTTTTTTGAAGGCTAAAAATGTTCCACTGCATGTGCTGCGTTCTGTCTGTTCATCCATCACCGGTCGGCTGTTGTGAACGAAGCTGCTCTAGACCTGGGTGTGCGAGGCGTGTCTGAGTCCCCATGTTCGGTTCTTTTGGGTGAACACCCAGAAGTGCTATAGATCCTTCACCTCAGCAGCACTACTTATTGGAATTTATATCCCGTGAGTGTGAGGTGCCGTTATCAGCTGAGTGAAGCACATGAAGATGCCCAACACACTAGCTGTTATTATGAGGAACCTGGAACAAGCAATGGCCACCACACAGGTCAGAGGTCACAGCCCTTCAGGGCAGTGGCTGGAACTATTTAGAAGCGATGCGGCTGAACTTGTGCTGCGTGGAGAGCCAATGCAGGTAGGCACAAAGGGCTGGGGGCTCAGCCCCAGCTCTGTCACTTACTGGCTGTGAGACTTCGGGAGCATTACTAAGCTGTCCTGAGTGGAATGTCCTCATAAAGTAAAAGGGGGACAATAGAAGTCTTCTCACAGGACTCTGTAAGGTTTTGAATAACAGAGATGAAGAGCTTGGGCCTTAATGGTAAGAGCTTAGTGAACATCAGTTTGGAATTCAAATGATCTTTAGCATTCATTAAATAAAGACTGTGAAATGTACAACATGAATGGTCTTTTCCCCCCTTTTTTATGTAGTTAGTACAGAGTCTACAGAGTCTCACTGCACAGATTGGACTTGAAGTGATCCTCCTGTTTTCAGCCTCCCAAGCACTGGGATTATAGGCACACACCACCACGCCCAGTCTCAACCCCTGGGGGTGTCAGCGTGCCCTGGGGGTGGGGCCAGCACAGCATGCCAGGGATCGAACCCAGGTCCCCTGTGCTTGCCTAAGCAGGCACTTTAGTCTGCTGAGCTATCTGGCCAGCTCTACAAGTGGCCTTTTGTATTATTCGTGTGTGTGTGTGTGTGTGTGTGTGTGTGTGTGTGTCCTAACATGTAAATCTATACATAAAACATTTCTATTTTCTTAGAAATAATTCCAAGATACTATTTTTCTTATGATTACCAGGGAAAAATTGGGAGGAAAACAGACCATTTCTCTGCCTCTTGTGCTTTTCTGTGCTGCCAACGATACCTAGATTTTCATGCATTACTTTTAGCCTTCCATAAAAAAAATCAAGAGATTATCAGCACAGAGAGATCCATTCTCTTTTTAAAGAATTGCTCTTTGTACAATTTTGTATTTAAAAATAAATAAATATTTTATACAGCTGTTCCTCAGTCCACAAACTCAATTTTCTGTACAATTCTGGTCCCAAATCAAACTGGATGAGAACCAAATCAAATTTGCCCATCTGATCAACATTGAACCTAACCACTGAAGTTGATTCAGTTCTTGTCCAAATCCATTTTAGACCAGTCATGGAAGGAATCAAGTCTGTGCACCAAAGTACCACCAAATTACGTTTTGTAGATTCTTAGTGATAGACTTGGGAGGAAAAATACTTTTAAACCAAAAGTGCTTTGAAGAAAGCATAGAAAAGAAAGCCTGGCATCTTGATGATTTATTATCATCAAGAAAGTGAAAAGACAATCCTGAGAACTGGAGAAAACATCTGCAAATCATAAACCCATTAAGGGCCTAGTATCGATCATATATAAAGAACACTTACAACTCAATAATAAAAAGTTTTTTAATTAGGCAAAGGATCTGAACAAGCACTTTTTTAGGGAACAGAAACAAATGGCCAATAAGCACATGAAAAGATATTCAACATCATTAGCTGTCAAGGAAATGCAAATCAAAACTACAATGAAAAAACAAAAAACTACAATGAAATACCCTTCACACCCCCTAGAATGCCTATAATCAAAAATTACATAATTACAAGTGTTGGAAAGGATGCAGAGAAACTATGGTCTTCATACACTGCTGCTAGGAATGTAGAACGGCACAGCTACTTTGGAAAATAGTCTGGCAACTTCTCAAAAAGCTAAGCACAGAGTTACCATCTAAGCCAGCAGTTCCACTCTTAGCTATATGCCCGAGAAAAAGGAAATCATATGTTCACATTAAAACTTACACAGGCAACCTAAATGCTCATCAATGAAAGAAAGGGTAAATAAAAGTGGTCTACTGGCACCATGGTAGGTTGTTTTTTTTTTAAACAATGAAAAGGAATAACAGTGTGGATAAACTCTGCAACATGCTGAGTGAAAGAAGCCAGACTAAAAGACCATCTACTGTAGAGTTCACTCATGGAAGAGTCTCAGAAGGGGCAAATCTATGGAGATGAAAATAATTTATTGCCTGGAGCTGGAGGGGGTAGGTTGAGTGTGTGGGAAGTGGGCAGTGAGGATCAACCAGCGTAGGACCTCTTTGAGGGGTTCTGAAATGTTCTAAAGTAGACTGTGGATGGTTTCAGACTCTGCGCATACACTGAAGATCATTGAATTACATGTGATAGGTGGAGGAAATTTTTTGGCATGCGCATTTTTGACTTATACAAACTTAGGCGGAATATGAACAGTCTCAATTAAGGGGTTACAGATAAAAGTAACCAGTAAGTAAAACAAGAGAGACTTCTTAGAAGGCACGCTCAATCAGAGGATAGGGGTAGCGTGGCCATGTGCGGCACTTCCCCAGTGCTCGGGCTGGGCATACACAGGGTTCTCCCAGGACTGGGCCCTGCAGGCAACCCGAGCCACTCACCCTTGGTGCAGTATGTGACCTCCCCAGCGTAGTGGAAGAGGCGAAACTCCATCCAGCCAATCCTCTTCCGGCCCTTTGGACCAGCCAGCTTCCGCCTTCAAGACACAAACAGACACAGAGTGAGCATCTCAGTCCCCCAGAACAAAAGGGCCTCCCCACATAAAGCAGAGTGAGGGGTGGAGGCCCTGGTGAGGCTGACTCCTGCAGAGCCCGCGGGAAGCCCTGCGCCTGGTCTCCAGGTACAGATCGAGGCTGCCCTAGAATAATCCTGAATTTAAAACATGAAATAACTTCTGTTTTTCCAGATAAAAACTAAGAAACAATTTTTTTTTTCTCGGAACCGAGGATTGAACTCAGGCCCTTGCACTTGCCAGGGAAGCGCTTATTCTACTGAGCCATCTCCCCAGCCCCTACAATCCTACAATTATCTATATATTATATATATTTAAGTCTTCATTTTTATTTTTTTTAAAAGAGAATAAAAGTAGTAAAAAAAAATTAGAAAGGAAACAGAATTTCACTAAACAAAATGATAGGAACTCAACAATGGTTGTTATATTGGTTATTGTTGTTTCAAATTAGTTGTTCAGATTACCAGGTGTAAGCATGCAAAATTAATTTAAAAAATTAGTCAAAAAATTAAAAAGAATAAATAAAATTAGCATTAACTGATCCTTTCAAAAGAACAGAAAGAGACCATTCAGTTGCCCACCCGGCCGAGCCTATCATGGGGACTTAGGCATAACTTAGCCCAGGAGGGTGTGAGACCTCCGTTAGGTCATATGTCGATAACCATGGAACTGCAGGTGAGAAATGAGTCAGCCACCAAGACCAGTGCTTCCCAGTCTTGGTGCACAGATGGACAGCCTGTTCCTTACCCTGTCTGTTCCCTTCACTCATGCATTCATTCAACAGGCACCCAGAGGCTAAACATTCCAACCTCCCTTTGCCTTGAGGGTGGCCTGAACTAACAAGAATTGCTTTTATCTTGGTCTTAACCATCCAGCAGAAAAGTATAAAAACGAAGTACAAGAAGGAAAGCCATGGCGTTATATTGAGCTGTAGGGGATTCAGGTCAACAATTTCTGACACTGCCAGTGAAATGGAAGCCCCAATACTATTATGGACTACTGGACTCTTTTGGAATATTTTGCTGAGTTAACATACCTATGATATTCAAATAATGGAACTAAACAAAAAAGGGGATACAGATGAATGTCCATTTTGTATCTGTGTATTCAAAATGGTTAGGATAGACATATAGTTACATTCTCTTAATGAATAGAGGGATTTGTTCTAATGGTGTTTGTAAATAGGATATCATATCCGCATCTTATATAGCAAATAACCAGTAGGAAGAATGTATGCAATGTGTTAATTATTGAAACTGTCCTACCAATTTGGTTTGAAACTGTCTCATTGCTATTTGTTTATCAATAAAATTATGGCAAAAAAAAGAATTGATCAAGCTCTCGAATTGAGTAGGACTCACAGACTACCTCTAACGCCCCTGGGGGTCTTACTGGAATCAGGCAGGCAGGCAGGCAGACAGATAGACGGACAGACAGACTGTGTCCTTCTCCATTTGCAGTCTGATGTGAGCCCAAGCAGGGAACCAGGAATCCTCCTCCAGACCTCTTAGGGGACCCAAGAAATCCCCAGGGCATGCCTTCCTGTTAGGACCTGGAGAAGTCCTTGCTCCATTGGTGAGAGCCACGACCATTGACCAAAGAGGTCAGCATGGTTGAGCTTCCCAGCTGATGCATCAGATGCAAAGGCAAACAGAATCACCAAAAGGACATCCAGGATTGGGAGGTGGATGTATTTACATTGATGGGATCATTTCCAGAATGTCAGGCCTTGATCTCTGGCGGTCTAGGGCTTATATGGGACAAGCAAGCAGGAAGTCCAGAGGCAGAATGGCTTGTCCATTGAAGATTAGTTTATACAATGTGCATCATAGTGACCCGCTTTGCATTACAGTGATCAACTGTTTCTAAGACACAGAAGCAACTGAAATTGGAACAGGAACTGTTACCTGGGCAACTGACAAACTGAAGTATACTGGGGCGGAGGGGGGGGGCATTTTCTGCTACAACATGAATTGTTGTATCATCATGACTTTTTTAAGCGCAAATAAACAGTTGTACTCCTGGAGCACAAATCAAAGAGCACAGAGACCCTCTCTTAGCAGCCCGTCCAAGGAAACACTTACGTCTGGAAGTGTGCGTGCTTGCCCACTTTCTCTTCTAATTTCTCCAGGAAACTCAAGTCGGTAGCAGGACCAGGGCGGATACATTCCTCATCCTTCAAAAGAACAAAGAGATACCTTGATCCATAAGGTTATTTTCCAGCAAATCCAGATTTAAATGCTTCTTCCAGGAGAGCCACAGGGGAGGAAGGAGCTCCCTACCACACCTAGTAAACTTCCTAGATTTGTGCCATGGCTCAGGAAATACCACGAACAGCCACCTCTCCCAGACCTCTGACTCACGTGTATTTTGGAAGCTTTCCTAAGGATTCCCGCAATTGCCATGGCTACTGTACTTAAACATTCAACCTCACTTAAGCAGCCATTAGTAACCAACAAGAGCCACATGCACATAGACCCCTTGCGCTAGGGCCAAGGTCCTCCTGGAAAGCAGGCTGCAAAACTTGTGAGACTGACCTTTCATATTTCCTAAGCTCTGCCTGTTCCTTGCACCTGTTCCTCAATGATACCATTTAATTGACCACCTTGAAAAAATGTGAATGAATCAACCCTGTAGCTTTTACTAAAATAACAACAAAAATCTGTGTTATAGGTTGAAGAGACACCTTATTGAAGCACAAACACAGCAGGCTGTTTTTATTAATATGCTTTGAAAGCAGGGGGTAGCAATCCTTGTGAACCAGTAGTGGCTGTGGGCCAGCTTAGGCCACTGATGCTTCTAGGATCAGGTCCTCTCTAGATGTCCCATGATCCCCTCACCACCTCCAGGTCTTTGCTCAAATGCCACTTCTCAGTGAACCCCCCCCACCAATTTTTCCTAAAATGGAGCTCCATCCCACCTCCGGGCCCAGGAATCTTCCTTTCCCACTTTTCTCAGTAGCACAGTTGATACGTTTTCCCCAATAGGCTGCTTACTGCTTGGCTCTCAAGGCCACAACTTCAAAGCTTCCCGAGGGCAGGAGTTTGAGTCTGTCTTCCTTCCTGCCATGCCCTAAAGCACGGGGCACAATCCTAGCACAAAATAAGCCCAAGATAAGCATTTTTGGGGTCAATAAAGGGTGAATGCCTGCGACAGGCCAGGCATAGTTCCAAGCACTCTGAGAGTGTGATCTTCCCTTAGTCCTACAGCTTCTCTCTGAGCAAAATCTTACCTCTACCTATTTAAAGGTGAAACTGGAGCACAGAGACATGTAGACCTTGGCTAATTCTACACAGGGGACCTCACATTTGTGGCAACAGCAGTCACCACCTATTCACATCCCTGCTGTGCTTCAGTGTGTTGGGTTCTCAGGGTAGTTGGTGGCCATGTAGTAGTATGAGGTCAGGAGGGAAAAGCTGCCAATTATTTTCACTAACAGGGAGGCGAACACTGGTGCCCATGACCCTAATGGACAAACAAGGTAATGATTTCTTGTATGCCTTTAGAATATATTTTAAAAGTTGATGTTGAATTTGATCAATTGAGGATTCAAAGATGCTGATATTCTCAAAGATTGCAGTTGTTTAAAAATGCAATCCCAAGCTCATTCCGAGGAGCCTCAACTCCAATTCAACTGAAAGTTTTCACAAAGCCTCCCTTTCTGTGTGCTGGCTTCCTGGTTGTATTGAGCATGAGAGCAGCCCCACTCCAGTGGCCACTGTATTACTCTATTCTCTGTTACTGTGACAAAATGCCTGAGGCTGGAAACTTCACAAAAAAGAGTTAGTTAGCTCCCAGTTCTGCAGGTCCAAGGCGTAGTACTGGCCACTGTTCAGCTCTGGGAGGCCCCACAGTGGATAGCATCCCAGTGTCACAGAAAGCCAGAGAAAGGCTGAGTAGGGACCAGGCTTGTTGCTATTATTAATTTATTATTATTATTGTTGTTCTTATTGTTTTTGGTTCAGGAACTGAACTTAGGGTCTTCATACTGAGTTACACCCCCAGCCACTCTTTAATTTTTATTTGAGACAGGTTCTCCAGCTAAGTCACTGAGTTGTTGAGGCTGGGCTGGAATTCGTAACCCTCCTTCGTCAGCTTTCCAGGGTGCTGGGAGTTACTGGCATGCACCACCATGCCCAGTCAGACTCGCTCTTTTGTAACAACTATCTCAGGAGAAGGGAACTAACCAGAGTCCTGCAAGGATGACATCTATTCTTTTCGAAAATAGGGCCCAGAGATCTGATTGTTTCCCAGAAGTCTTACCTCTTTTTTTTTTTTTTTTTTTCCACTATTTTGTACTCTTCAAA